CCACCCCCCCCCCCCGCAACACACACACATACAGTGAGAGGGGTCTGTGTTGGGCCCCAGGGGAAGTCTGTTGGAGCACTCTGCCCTGTTCTCAGGGTACCCCACATGGCTGCTTGCTCATGGAGCTGGCTGTTGAGTGTGGGGACCCCAGAATCTGAGCCCTGTGGGACTGGGTAGGTTGAGCACTGAGGACACTGACCTACCCATGCATGGTGCAGACCAGCTGCCCAAGGAGCCACCGTTCCCTCTGAGCACACGCTCTGTCATGGAGCCCATGTCCCTGAAGGCCTGGCTGGACAGTCACCGCAGGGAGCTGCAGTCGGGCACATCCCTCAGCTTGTTTGGGGACACCTATGAGACCCAGGTAACATGGCCCTGGACCACTCAGGGCATCTCCGGCAACCCAAGGAACTGGGAACTAATCTCAAACCCGGGCTAGGAGGGAGGTCAAGGCACTGCAAGCTGCTGGGGGTGGTAAGCGCGCGGGCAGGGAAGGGAGGATGTGAGCTGGATTGTTACTGTGTGTCCTGCCAGTCTGCTGAGCCATGCAAGCTGGGAGGACTCGTGAGAGGCAGTGGGGGCTTCCCCCAGCGTTGAGCACAGAGGCCCGAAAGTGTGTCTGCTTCGTGGGACAGATCAGAAGGCGGGGTGCGCAGGAAGTCCTGTGTTTATTGTGCCTCAGTTTGCTCCCTCGCACCCTGTGCAGTTGGAATTACTCACCCCGGCAGGGATGCTCGCTGGGTACAGGCCTGCCCCAATCCTGGGTCCCAGGGACACTTGCACCAGGAGCCCCTCCTGTCACAACCACAGCCACCCGCCTTGCACTGTGCTGCTCCTACTGCTTCCCCTTCCCACCCACAGTACCTGAGTCCTACTCAGGTGGCCCCGCAGGTCCAGGAGGCCACAGCCTCACCGTCCTCATCCCTCTTCCCTCTGCCAGCTTCAATGCCCAAGGGAGGGAGGGAGGTGAGCTGAGGGGTGTGTGACCCTGTGTGCCCAGGTGGGCCTCAGGTGCATGTGTGCGTGAGGGGCAGGTGTGCACAGGGCCCCCTTCTCCCTGCTCCCTGGGTCGCAGTCTCGGCTCATGGTGGTGCTGAACTCACCTCTCCTCTCAGGCCTGCGGTATGGTGGCCAGGGTCAAGGCCATCTCCTGTATGGGGCAGGAAGCACCAGAAAAGTCTTTTTCACCTCCCATCAGGTAATCGCACATGGACCAGGCAGCGGCAAGAGTTCAGGAGAGGACGTGGATGTGTGGCTGTGGCAGCTGGTACGTGGGGCCGCGCCTGGGCCTGGGACTCCCATAGCCTCCCCTGCAAGGTGGACCAGGACTTCCAGTCAGGTGTTGAGGCCTGACAGCTGTTGGGTTCTCCTGCTTTGCTTTCACAGGAGGGTTCCTCAGTGGTGACGATGGAGGGACAGCGCCTGGGCCTGGCCCCCGATGACAGCTTCCTGGTGCCAGCTGAGACCTCGTGAGTGGGCAGGGAGTACTTTCCCCACCAGCATGACTGTTCTCCCCTCCTTGGAGTCCTCAAGGTCCAGCTCTGCCTGACCCCTGCCCATCTGGGTCCCCACAGGTATGTGTGGGAGCGAGCACGAGACTCTGCGGCCCTGTCCGTGACCCAGGATCCTGCCCGCAAGAAGCTTCTGGGGTGACACTCTTGCTGTGGGCCCAAAGCAGCCAGGGTGTGCCTTGGTGCCATGGTGAGAGCCACCCTGCCGAACAGCTCTCCTGGTCCCCGCTGCTGCTCCGAGTATGGCGGCTGAGCACCTCAGTGCGCCCCTGCCAGGCCCCGACATCACATCTTCCACCCTCCTGCCACTCTCAGCTAGGGACGCCAGGCTCCTGAGGTGTTAGCAGCCCCCGCTTTCTCTTATCAGCCATCAGCCCCACGGTGTGGTGCCCCATCCCTCTGTCCCCACGGTGCACATGCCTGCCACCAGGAAGACCCTCAGTGAGGACTGAGGGAGGAGCATTACAAGTTCAATGTCAGCCCAGTCAGTTTAGCAAGATCCTATCTCAAAATGAAAAAAAAGAAGAAGAAAAAATAGGGCGGGAGCTGCAGCTCAGTGCAGAGAGTTGAGTTCAATCTCCAGTATCACAAAAGAATCATAATAAAATAAATAATTAAGGCCCCTGTGAATGAGGGCTAGTGGGTCAGCACGTGACTATCACAGGTGTCTGGCCCCTGGTGACGGGCGGTGTCTGGGATATCGGAGCACCAAGTGACTACAGATACGTATTGAATGGTTGGTTGATGAGTTGATTTAACTTGACTTAAAAAAAAAAAACATTCCTGTTGAGTTTGCTTCCCATTAACTGAAGTGATTTGTGTTACTGCAGAAAATACAGTAATTCTACAACACAGAACATCCCACCCAGGGTTAAGCGCTATTAATGGTTTAAGGGCAGGGCTCGGCTCACCTTGGGACTTCAGTGAAAGGTTGGTCAAGGTCAACTGGCAGTGCAGAAGCTAGGTCTGTACAGAACAGGAGAAGCCAGAGCTTCCTCTAGAAAAGAGAACCCGAACTTTGTCTCTGTGACCCCAGCCTGGTGGCTCACAGCTTTGAGGACAGCACAGAGACCTGACTTTGCCGCAGGGGCTTCTGGCCTTGGATGAGGGCATCTCCCTCACCTCTGTAACCCAAGGCTTTCCTTTCCTGCAAGCCAAGAGACATCACTGGCCTCCTCCAAATGCCCTCAGCCCATGCAGCTGGGACAGAGGCCTGGTGCGCCTAGGTGCACTGTGCAGTGCTGCTCTGTGCCAGAGCAAAAGGAGAACCCAGAATGTCCCAGGAGAAAAGTCACAACACAGCAGCCCAGAGAAAAGTAGTGGAGAGGGCGGGCCTGATCCAAAACAGATCATGAAAATTATGCCTTCTCTTTTTCTGAACACCTCCAGTACTTGTTATGTAGATGACCTTCACATTCTACTCAAACTCTCCAAGAAGGTGGCAGCACTGACTTAAGGAAGAGGCCAAGAGAGGTTTGAAAACCTTTGCTTCTTCTGTGGCCACAGCCCCTCTGTTCTCAGCCTCAGTCAGATGGGAGCCTGGGGTAGGAGTGAAATCTGGAGGATCCTTGGAGAGGGGGCAGAGGCCACACTGCATGAACCCTGGAGGATGAGGCAGAGTTGGCAGCACGTGGCAGGCTGCTGACCAAAGCCAGTCGGTAAGGGTGGGAGGTGTCAGGCCCTGGACTGTGTGAACCACCAGAGTCTGGTTTATCAGGAGCCCAAGACCTCACCTCCACCCACTGGCCCAGCTATAAGCTCAAGAGAAAACCTCTTGGTCAGACTGCAACATTTGTGCCTTGTTCAGAGCCCACCTTATTTTGTGCCTTGTTCAGCTCCCCACTCTGCAGTGAAGGCTGGGGTAGGGAGGCGCAAGGACTGACAGGGTGGCTCCGTTTGGGGGAGAAGCCCCCAGACCCCATGCCATGGCAGTAAAATTTGGCAGGGCAGTCCTCTGCCTGAGGGACACTTTATTATGTACACAGACTTGGGACCATCATAGACTGGAACCATCAGGGCTCTGGGAAGCACTGAAGATTGGGCTTCAGCAGGCTTGGGACACACAGCAGACTTGGGGACACACTGCAGGCAGACAGCACAAGCACTGGTCGCTGGAGGCCATGAGCAGGATGGTGGAGGTCTTGATTGCACTCCTCACCTCCTCCCTGTTGGCTCCACACTCCCTGCAGCCAGCACTGGCAGGGGAAGGAGACGCCACTCAGCCCCTACATATAAGGGAGGTGTGTGTGTGACCCTGACAGCCCAGGTCGCTAGAACCAGCTCCCACCTTCCGGAAGTTAACACGTCTGAGCATCCTGGGCTGTGAATACCTCCCTGCTCCCCCTGAAGACTGGAACACTAGGCCTTCAACAATGAAAACCCCAGGTGTTGAGTCACTGTGGTGGCCAGTGATGGAAACACTCATCTCACCTTTCCCTCACACAGGCCAAGAGAGTCCAGAGTCTTCTCTCAGGTCCCTGATCCAAGCAGCCCATGAAATTTCCCAGCATGAGCCCTCCTCTCCCCACTACTCCTCTCTCCCTCCATCTTCACCACTGTGCTGGGGTCAAGAGAAGCCTGGCTTCTCTGCCCCCACTTCCCCCACTATATGCCTTCTGGGCACAGTGCTGGGTGTGGAGTCAGTCCTGGGCCTGATGGGGAACAGTGTGGCCCTCTTCACCTTCTGCTTCCCCGCCGGACCAAGCCCATCCCTCTGTCCCCACAGTGCATATGCCTGCCACCCAGAAGACAATAAGGGCTCCTGGTAAGGGAGGAGAATTACAAGTTCAATGTTAGTGTTCCTGGTGAACCTAGCCATGGCTGGTTTTCATCATCCTACCCTTCGAGTGAACTAGCACTTCTCCACGAGACCTGTTTGGTACTTCGCCACAGTGACAGAAGGCTGACACAGAAGAATCTGCCCCCCAGCACTGATTCCAGTCTCAAGTCCATTACAGGAAGGGGATGAAACCTCAGCCTCACTCTGCTGGTACCAGGCACTGCACACGCTGCAGAGCTGACTGCTACTGGCCCCTGTCCTCTTGGTCATCATGAGCATCAGGCTTACCACCTGGTCCCTAGCCGGCCAGGTATGCAGTCCACAGGGCCGTGTGCATGCTGGCCATGCTGGTAACTGTCTGTGCCATCCGCTTCCTGCCCAGCACCATCTTGGTACAGTCCCATGGCCATCTTCTGGCTGTACACCTGGGGCACCCTGCTTACAGCCCTCTCACAGCTCCCTGACCTCCACCTGCCCTGGGAAGATCCTGGGCCCTGAGCACGTTGTGCTGATTCTCCGGCCCTATTCCCTCCACCAGTGCCGGGCCTGCTGGGCCTCAGAAGGAGCTTCAGGGCCCAGTGAGCAGCACAGCTCTACCTGGCCTGTGTGCCATGGGCTACAAAGGAGGTACCTCCCAGGACTGAGGGGCTTATGCAGGGGGCAGTGCCACAGGGGTAAGGCCTGGCCAGCCCTGGCCCGGAGGTCACTCCCTGGACTGTTGTCAGCACAGAGTGCCTCAGCCAGCTGGACACATCCGCAGGCCGGAAGCCAGGTGAGGCAGAGCAGGAGCCAGGTGGGTGGCCGGGCATTTTCAAAAGTGATTCCGAGTTGCAGGCTATAAGGGAGCCAACCTGAAAACCCAAGGGCACCTGTCTGGTCAAGCATCTTCGATGGACACCCTACTGGGCTAACAATGCATTCACTGAACAGTACTCCTTTTCATGATAGGTTATCATTTACATAAAATTTAATACACAAACATGTTCTATATTGGTTATGGATTCAAACATATGCATTAGTAGTATAATGTATTGAGTGATAAACCAAGAGAGGTGGCAATGGGAAGGTTACCCAGGTGACTACTACCTTGAGTGAAATTATCTTTGTGAAAAAACAGCTGAGAGTAACCTCTGAATGCACTTAGCATTGCTGAGTGGAGCATAAAGGAGTCGGTGTGATGAAGAAAGGAAAGTAGTATGTAACCACAGCTCCAAGTGCTCTGGCTGCTCAGACAGGGTGGCTAAGAATAGCATGGCTTTGGCAATTAGAAGTCATTACAGACTTCCAATTTCAGGGAGCGGCTTGGTGAGGGGCAGAGCAGGAGCCAGAGAGCATTTAGAAGGGGCTGAAGAATTAATGAGATTTGCAGAAATGGAAACAATTCTTTCCCCTTTCAATAAATGTGCCAGTAAAGGGAGGTAAGGTGAATGTGAGTGTGTGGGACCGAGGTTTTGGTGTTGCAGCTGTTCCATTGCTTCCTGGATTGAATGGCGAGGTTGGAATGCAGTAGCAGGAGAAGGGAAAGGAGATGACTGTGGTGGAAAGTGAGAGTGAGATGACCAAGGTATCTCACTCAGCATCTCACCCATACTGATTTCCTTAGACCTAGATGAAAACACTGAGATACAGAAGTTGCGTGATTTGCCCAAGGTCGCACAGCCAGAAAGTGGCAGGCCTACCTGAGTCAAGAAACTCTGCTGCCAGGCTCAAGAGGGTGGGAGGATGGATCCAGCCCACAGGTGGCAGGAGGATCCGTCCTTGGAAGGACACATCCTCAGCCGGGGGAAAAGTACCACTGCAGCAGATTTTGGGGTAGAGAGGAGGAAGGTTGCCAGGTTCTTAGGAGAGTTGACTCTCATCAGGTGAAGGCTTACGGAGGGACACATGATTGGAACAGCTGGTTCTGGAAGAAAAGTTCCCAAAGAAAAGCCTACAAAAGGACCACTAAGCCAGGAGCCAAAGGGTCCTGGACAGTTAAATACCCACAGCTCTGCTGATTATGGGGAATGCTCTGCCTATTGCTCCTCTTACTGCCAGGCCTAGAGGGGACAAGTTTGGGTCATCTATTAGGTGACCTGGCCTGCTGACCCCTCTGTAAGCTCAGGCCATGAGCTGTGAGGCAGAGGAAGAAGCAGTCCCCAGAGAAAGGCTATAGAGTCCCCGTGTGGCTGGGGACATGGACCAACTGGCCCGGCCTGGCCTGTTACCTCCCCTTGCCCTGGGGATGAGAGAGGGGACACAGCATGGAGGCAAGGGGCTTCTGGGGTATGCAGGTTCAGAGCCTCCCAGCTGAGCTACCATTTCAGCAAAGGACAGCCTAAAATCAGGCAGAATTTCCAGAAATTTATTGGAAACACGATACAAACTGATTAGTAGACAGCATTTTGTACAGATAGACGTCCACACCAAGACCATGCTGGAGTGCGCTGGCCTGGGGAAGCACTCTGGGCACCGAGGTGTGCTGGGGACAGTGACCTCAGGCCAGGAAAACCAGAGATGCACAAGAGAGGGACAGAGGGGCACACAAAAAGTAAAAAAAAAACCAACAACAAAAAAATAGGACATGGCTTTCCTGAGGGGAAACAGGGACAACTGTGAAGGATAAAGGTTCTCCCCTCTCTCCCAAAAGCACTTTCCTCTCTAGGAAACCCCAAGGGGGCTACAGAGAGGGCACAGGGCAGATCAAGGCCAGGGCTCGTGTGCCCTTTGTGCTGGCTCCCACCCCCATCCTGCTGTCGTGTGCTGGTGCTGACCCTGAAGGTAGCTCTCCAGGCCTGTGAACCATGCGACAGCTAAGGCAGGAGGAAGAGAGAGCCTGGTTTTCTCCCACTCTGCTCTCTGCCTGGGGGCATTTCTGGTAGGGACCATGCCTCCTTATGGCTCCATCTCCTACCAGATGGGCCTCTGTGGTCCCAGACCCACCTGGTGGCCTTGGCCCCTGGACTGTGATAACAGGGTCTCCTCACCTCCTTACTCCAGGTGGCCTCAGGGTGGTGGCAGCTTCCTGTTATTCCCCACCTCCACACTGCCTCAGCTCCCATTTCAGCTCTTGTTCTGTGTGAAACAAATCTCTGGATTAAAACTGCTCTGTGTTAAATACATACAGTGGTTCCTGCTTTCTGGATGGGCCCTGAGCGGTGTACAAGGTAGAGCTGCGAGAGGTTCTAGCAATAACCTCCTGTCTGTCATCCTCTTTTGCAGAGGACATCAGAGGTGGCGCTAAGGACTGAAGGACAGAGGAGGCGTTGCAGAGCTTGTGTCCTTGAACAGGAAGCCCGGTTCCAAGGCACACCTCACAGTATGTGCAGATGGTCTGGGCATGTCCACTCACACTTGCTGAACCATGGTGTCCCTCGGTTCCCTCCGATGTGGCCCCTTCACTGACATACACCGCAGCACAGTGTGGCTCCAGAAAGGGTGTGACTAACAGAAAGTCCTCAGCACCAAGTGCTCAGATCAGCAAAGGCAAAGGACAGGGGCTCATTAGCATCTACCTGACACCCCCTGGAGAGTTCCACTGCAAGGCTGTGAGCTTTCCAGAGACAAAACAAGAGCATGAGATCTCTGGCACATCATCTTCTCAGGGGATGGATCTGCAAAAGCAAGAGCTCGTACTAACAAGGTGAGGGGTGGCCTTGCTAGCACACGTGGCTCAAAACGAGCTATATGTTTCCCGAAGCTAACCGTGGATGAGGGCAGGAGTGAGTCCCTGCTCCTCCTCTGGCCTGGCCAGGCCTGACTCCAGACCTTCTGGGCCTGGGTGAAAGGTCTCCCCCAGCAGGGAGAGGGAATGGCGCCAGCAGCATGCAGTCATGGAGATGTGGCTAATTGTTTCTATCCTCAGCAGTCACTGTGTGGTGGGAGTCAGCAGAGGGGAGAGGAAGAGTGAGCAGTCACCTCCCCCCGTATGTCCATGGCCACAGTAAATACAAGGCAGGGGCGCAGACAGGCACAGACCAGGCACTGACTCCTCTTTTTCTTTAGAGAATAAACACCCCACAGACAGCTGCCTCCACTTCTGGGGTCTTTGTTGAAGGGATCTCTGTGTGGAAACCGGGGGAAGTGCCTGCCACCTCCATCTGTCTCTCACAGGGCACCTGACACAGGTCCTACCCTCAGGGGGCCTGAGCCAAGACCAGGACAGCTCTGAGGGAGAGTGGTGAGAACACCCCTGCCGCATCAACTGCACAGAAGGCTGAGAAGCCCAGGTGACTGCAAAACAGAAAGGACCAGGCAGCCTGCACCCAGAGAACTGTCCTCAGACATCACACACCTTGTTCACTACTTGGGCTGAGCCAGCCTTGGGTGACATTAGCATCATTTCTGTGCTCTCTCACTATTCCTGGGAGAGGGGTCAAAACAACTGTGGCTACTCTGCCCTGCAACAGCCCATTTGGGGCGCCTCACAGCAGCTATCCAATCGCTTCTCGGCCTTTTGGCTAAGATCAAGTGCAGCGGCTATCCAACTGCTGCCCAAGAAGGCTGCGGGGGCGGGTCAGACTCTAGTCGTCTTTCTCAGGCTGAGATCCTGTGCCCAGCAGCCTGTCTCTGCCAACGGAGAGGGAAGTGGCCAGGCTCAGTCTGTTCAGGGAGCTAACTGGAAACTGAGTTACTCTGATACCTGCAGCTCTGTGTAGTGGCAGCAGAGTGACCAGCTGGAATGCCACCAAGAGCTGGTGCCAGGGCATGTGCAAGGAGCCCATACCAATAAAATGGGGGTCCTGGGCCTAGGCACATGTGCTCACAGAAATACAGGGCCTCTGCATGCTTGTGCCCAGTCTTGGTTCTCTCTCCAGCCCTGGGGACACCAACAGTCTATCTGCTTAAAATGAACTGGTGCTTATATAGGCCCCACCTGGCTATGGTTCTGCATCAGCTGGTTTGTGTGTAAGGAAGCAGGGCAGTAAGCAAATGGCTTTGTCACAGTGACGTGTGCTTGGCACATTTAACAGCTGCTCTCCTTGGAGCTGGTGGGGGACCAAGCAGAGCTGAGCAGGACGTCACCTCTCTCCAGTGGAGGAGATGCTGAAAAGGGCCCCAGGGCTGCCAGGCAGTCCTTCCCTCTGTCACAGCCAGGTGACCTGCCTGAGGAAGGACAGGGTTGAGTGCAGGATGCAGCAGGGGATGAGTAAAACTTCCCCAGCAAGGAAAAAAGCAGCCTATTGGGGAAAAAGCTGAGACAGTAACAGCAGAGACAGGGAACACCAAGAACCGCGTAAACACTGGCACGTTTCTTAAGAAGCATCCACTCAGACGGATGCCATGTCCTCCTGTACATAATTACACAGCATGAAAGAGAGCGGGTGATGCATGCAGGCCGCCATTCCAGGGTGTGGGGCTCTGAAGAGCAGCGAGGGGTGGCGTGGCTCCCTCCTCCCCTTGGTGCTCAGGCAGCTCTGCTCTGGGACAGCGAGGTCTCTGAGAGGAAGCACAGCGCCACTGGTCCACGCGTGGAGGCGCAGATGCAGAAGGTGCACTCCTACAGGTCCTTCCCGGCCCATCAGGGCACGAGGAGGGCCCCTCTGACAGGGCTGCCTCCTTCCCAGGCACAGCTGTGAACATCAGCAGGACGGCAGCAAGTCTTGACGGTAGGGTGGAACGGGGGTAGCTCAGTCTGACACACAGCACGTGAGTTCTGGCAAAGCAAGAAACGAGGTGATGGTTAAAGGAGGAGTTCCGAGGGAAGACAAGGGGGTGGACAGGAGGAGCCCTCCCACCAACACGACAGGCTTCAGGGACAGGAGGTCAGGCACCCATTCAAATCAAAGCTCATGATGGTGTTTAAGGCTGGACCAAAGGGGAAGCTCACACAGGTCAGCGAAATAACTGAATGACACTGAAAAGCCCTAAAAGCTGGGTTTGGGGTGGGTAGGGAAAGGCTGCTGGCCAGGCACTGCAGCATGCCAGGCAGGCTTCCAAGCTTAGCAGCAGACTTCCTGGAACTTCCCTGCCTGATAGGAAGCGATGGGGAGCATGACTGGCTGGGAGGAGGCAGGACCATGATTAATCACCTCCAAGCAGGTACTCGTAGGGTGTGAACACGCTTTTTGTCACAGAGGAGTGAACTTCAATCCCCACAGTGTCACAGGGCTAGTCACTGTTCCTGTGTTCCTCCGCTTCCTCCAAGCTTTCAAGAGAAATAAGTAAACAAAAGCAGCCATGGCCTGCAAACCACATCACCACCATCACGGGTCTCTGGGTTATTGGGAAGGGAGCTGGGAGGGAGGGGATATGTGCTAAGGCAGGATAGAAACAATGCTCAGACATTCTCTCCCACTGTGCACCTGCAGCCAGGAGAGGACCCGGGAACGCTCACCTGCACAACCTCATACCATCGTGAGGAAGGGCTGCAGGATAGGGCAGAGCTGTGCCTTCACTTCGTGAGCCTTGCTGGAACAGGGAAGGCACAGGTACACAGCTTGGCATTAGATGTGGGCTCAGCAAGTATGTGCTAAAGACTCAAATTCAGTTTGGGTATCCATACACCTTTGCTTAATTGATCCTTTTGTAAGTTATATAACTGCATTATTTAACCTTCACCAGAACCTTGGGAGGATCAAAAAGGTCAGGAACTCATGCAAAGTCACGGTGAGTTAGCTGAGGAGTCAGGATTTGAACCGAGATCTTAATTCAGATGAAGTTCTTCCTTATATCCCAAGCTTCTCATTTTCCATCTAGCCCGATGTTCTTCTGCCAGCCCAGTAAGAGCACACTATCCATACGGTCCTCGCCAGGGTCTATGCTAAAAGTTATGTATGTGTCAGCGTCACTCAGCTCCCCAGCCTGTCTGCCTCTCTGGGGAGAGGGAGTTCTCTGTCATACATTTGTCCAAGTCCCTATAGAATTAAATCGAATGCTAGAAGAAGTACTTGTAATAGATCCTCAAGTTTCTGAAGTACCATGGTAAATTTGTGCTAAAATTTATGCTAAATCCATGGCTCCAGTTTCTAAAGCAACTCTATTCTAGGCAGCTCAGGATCTGGTGTTTGGACTCATGCCTTCCTTCTCCACACAGTCCATGGTTTAAGGTGAATATGCACCTCTCTGCACCCCAGCTGAAGAATCCCAGTGCTTACTACCTGTCCTTGTAAAGCTATCACTTCACTCTTGCCTGCTCAGAGCTTCCCCAGCCCTACTTCATTGCCTTGAAATAAGGAACAGGAGTCACCCATGGCATTCTAGACACAGAGGCTCTCAGCAAGGGCCCCAGGACAAGGTCTACATGGATTCCCAGTCCCTCCTGCACCACAGTGTAACCCAAATCATTTACCTTTCTGTTTATTCTTAAATGCATTCACCTACATTTGCCACTATTGTGTGCACTAACCCTAATTCACAAGCATTCATTTTGGTTTGTTTTCGTTTGCTTGTTGACAAAATGTTTCCTATTGGTTTGACTGCCCAGAAGTACTTGAAGGCCATGGACTTTGAGATTCTGCAAATTAGTCAACTAATGCAATGAAAGCAACTTCTTTAGGTTTCCAGCTGATGGCTTCTGAGTTTGTTGCCTTCCCTTCTGAAAATCGGAGAAGAAACCGCCTACAGCATTTGAGGTTGGAAAGCAGATAAGGAGTGATAACAGATTATGCACTTAAGCAATCGAGAGTGGAAAGCGGCAGTATGGAAAGTCAAGAGCCCAATTTGTCCGAAGAATCTTCAAAGGACTCAGGTGACCACAGCAGGTACCTCTGAAAGTCAGGGGGGGAACTAAAGCAAAGCAGATGAGTTAAAGGCCAAGAAGCAGTCCCAAAGCCCTCCTGACTCCAAACCCCAGTATGGATGTTTATTCTTCAGAGGGGACAAAACTGAGGGTCCCAGGACACCAGGCACCAAGTACATTTGAGGGCAGAACTGTAAATTCCCAAAGAGAGGAACCATGTGACCATCTGCCTGCTGAATGTGAGCTCCCAGAAAGCAGGTAGCCAAACCTTCTCACTCTGCAGATGAGAGAGAAGAAACGTCTCTGGGGAATCTGAGCAGCCCACAAGAATACAGTTAAGGAACCGGCACTTAGGGCTACCCAATCACCAGCTCACCATGGTCACTCTACTGTGAACTGCACCACATGCAGGCTCCAGCACGGAGCTTTCAATCTGATTATCAGCCTCCTACTCTTTTTTTTTTTTTTTTTTGCTTTATGATTAATTTCACCAATCTTTTTTTTTTTTGTCAGCCTCCTACTCTTAAACATTATTACAGAACAAAAGTCATTGGGAAAAAAACCTTTAACAAAAATAAATGTTTAAATAGGAAAATGGATACATATTGAGGATATACTCCTAAGTGAAATAAGTCACACATGTGTAAATATTGAATAGTTTCTCTGGTGTGAATAAACTACAATAATACATAATATCCTAATGATATAAGAGACAATGTGAAATAGGAAGAAAGGGGCTAAAGGTGTAGGGAAAGTAGGAAGGGTAGGGGAAAGCTAATAAGGGAAAAGAAAAAAGTATGAGAAAATGAAAAAATGGAAATGAAGTATTTGTAAAGGGAGAGGGGAGGAGGGGTGAAGGGAGGGCAGGGACAAGGGAAAAAAATGAGAACCAAGACCTGTCATGTAAAGATACAGGATCCCAATGATGAATGTAACTGTACTGTATACCTAGAATGTACCAATAAACTCAATGAGGAAAAAAAATGTTTAATATCAAAATCAATAAACAGAAGAATATAAACTGGACTGTTCTTGGGGAAAACTTAAAAAAAAATACCTATCATCCTCAGAGAAGGAATAATGATACATTATCCATGAAACATGTTATTTCTTTTAGTGGAGATAACTAAAGGGGAAAGAAGCCATAGAAAAACTGAGGAATTCTGCTTCTTAGAATGGTAGGCTAATTTATATTGGACTAAGCTGCCAGCCAGTAAACTGTGCAAAACACAAAAAGCAACAGCTTAGGGCCGGGGATTTAGCTCAGCAGTTCGGTGGCCTGCCTTGCAAGTGCAAGGACCCGAGTTCGATCCCCAATACAAAAAAAAAAAAAAAAAAAGCAACAATCAGGCAAAAACTGAAGAGGCTCTGCCTGTAGAACAAAGTGGGACTGGGTGAGAGCCACTCTACACTGGCTTTCCCTGTGAGCACTCCAAGCAATACAGGATCAGCACAGGCAAGAGCTGTGGTTGAAGTGGGCTGAGGAACCTGCCTCAAAATAAAAAAGAGGCTAGGAATGTAGCTCAATCTCCAGTACCAAGAACAAAAACAAAATAAAAATAAAACAAAAAACATGAAGAAACTCAAAAATTAAAAAAATGAAGTTGAGAAAGTCTACCAAAAAATAAAGTAAAAAACACAGATAGGGCCGGGGGATTTAGCTTAGTGGTGCCGCTGCCTGCCTCACAAGTGCAAGGTCCTGATTTTGGTCCCTGGTACCAAAAAAAAAAAAAAAAAAAAAAAAAAGAGATGGAAAACTGGAGAGAAACAAAATAGAAGGCCAGTCCAGCCAGTCCAGTACCAAACATCCTGCCCCTTTCTTCTGCAGAATGCCCTGTCCCAGATGTTCACTGTGGGTCGCCCTATTTTCCCATGACTCCCCCGATCTTGTTCACCACCTGCCTGCAGAAGACTCCACATGAGCCTGCAATCAGACATGACCGTGAGGTCTGTGTGCTTTAGGAATCTCCATCTAACAGTTACCTCTGGTTTGGGACTCAGTTTTATATTCATCGCTTTTTGTATTCATTTATATGTATATAATTGCTGACAAAAATAAATATTTGGTTGAGGAGGAAAATGCACAAATTATAACTCAGATGTTTCTTAGCTTGAAGAGTACTCAGTCATTTGGAATAGAAACCAGGAAACAGGGAGAGAAAATAATAAGCAGGGCTGAAAAGCTTAAAATGAGCCCAGTGGGGGTTTCTAAATCAACCAGACTGTGAGGAACATCCCACCTCCACTGCTGGGGTGCTGCAGAGTCAGAAGGCTTTCTCTCATTTCTTTGCTGGAACCCAGGAGATCAGTGGGAGTGAGGGAGCCTAAAATGACTGGGTTCTGGGGTTGGTCTTCACTTCCTACAGCATCAAGATCCAACGTGAGATCCCAGTGGCTTCCTCGGACATTCACACCCCCACTTGTGATGGCTGAGTCAGACCTTTTCCAGGTAAACCCTCTTCTCAGGAACCTAATCTCACTCTGTTGTTTCCTTGTTTCCTTTCCCAAACATCTAAGCTTTTCCCGAAGCTTGAGACCTAGCTCTCCAGTCTTCCCTGTCCTCAAGGTCACCCTCTGTGTGTCACTGAAATGAGGAACAAACAGATGGCTTGGTTAACAAATGAATGACTTCTGTAGGTAATCAGCAACAGTTAGTGGGAGGCCAGTGCTGGCTCTTACACCTGAGGATCTGAGTGATTGACTGTCAATCTTCTGGGTCCAGGACCTTCAGATATGACTGAGAGGGTCTCAAATCTAGACCTTTTTGGGTCTCCCAACTAGTATTTCCCTGAGGAACAAGACAGAAGTGCTCTCTGGGAGAAACTGTGGTATCAGTAGATCCAGGGATGTTCCCAAGGGTGGTCAATTTAGCATCTTTCCAGAATATTCCAAAATACCAAGTTGTTGATTCACTTGGGCCTGTCTTCTTCTCTAGTCCCTGCCCCTAAGAGAATACCCACGCCCTCAGACAATGCTTCAGCAACCCTGAAACCCATTCGGGATGTACCAGGTACTCTGCTATACTGCTTCACACCTAATAAACTCTGCGGCCATATGGTCCTTTGGAAAATAGTTTCGTTTTTTTTTTAAACCTCAAAGATTTTTTTAAAAATATAGTTAACCAGATTACACCATGTGAAGAGACCAGAAGTGAGTCTAGGGACAATTGATATTCTTCCATAAACAACACGTTAGAACATTTAAAAAAAATCTGTAGTCTTTTGAAATGGCACAAAATTGCTGACAGAAGGCAGTCTGGGCCTAAGCCTGCCTGGGAGTGCCATCAGCTGTCCCTGGCAGTCTATTTTTATTGGATTTGTGAAGACAGCAGACACGTTCCCAGAGCTCGATCACTGTACAGCAGCCCCCACCGCCCATTTCCCAGGGCTGGCACGCCAACAGTTGGAATTGTTGAATCACTCATTTCAGAAACAAGTCATCAAAAGGACAATCTTCACACCCCAGAT